GGAGTCCTACATCCCGCATATTGCTTATCAAACTCTTCACACTGGCGATATGGCTGACGCGGCTGAGGTATACAACGATAGCTTCCGCGAAAGCGACACATACGCTGAATACGTTTTGCAGCCAACTCCGAAAACGGTGGGACATTGGAACTGTAACGGTACTGGAACTAGGGAGGATACAGCACAAATTTCCAGACATACGGGGACGGATGAAGGGTCAGAATCTACCGGGCTTGCTGTTCTGAAAGAGTCATCCATGAAATCCAACGAAGGAGAAGAGCTATTAGAGACAAGTTCCGCGTCGCAGACTACTCCTGAAAAGGCGCCCCCGTTCACCGAGACACTAGACGACGCATGGATAGACAACTGGGATATGAAAGTTTATCGATGCGCCTATTGCAACAGACCGTTCGTTACTTATGACAGACTTCTGGATCACCTACGAGCCTGGCATTCGGACGATTCTCCGAAAATCGCGCCATACGAGGGACCGTCAATCAATCCCAGAGCTCACCCAGGCAGCATAGTGGTCATTGCTCAAGGGGGGGATATGTTTCTCGAAACTCCCTGCTCTCCTGAATCTCCGTGGGCTACCTATATGAATGGAATGGTTCAGTACCAAGTCGCCTCGCAAGTTCTTTGGATAGCATCTCCAGTGTTTAGGAAGATGTTTGGTCCCGAATCGAACCTCAAGGAGGCTGCAGAGCTACGGCGGTCACAAATATTTGGAACTCCCACGGTGATATCTTTGGATGACGATCCCCAGGCACTCGAGATTATACTCATGGCACTGCACCATCAGAACGACCTTCTACCACAAGTGATCGAAATGAAAGAGATGGTTCACATAGCGGAGATTTGCGACAAGTACGAATTTCACCAGGCGTTGAAACCAATCGCAGACAAGCTGTTTTTGCCAATGAAAGACGATGCCATCAAACCTGGAAACGAAGATTCATTGCTTTGTTGCTATGTATTCGGATACGAAGATGTTTTCGCAGAAGTTTCAAAGGAATTGATTCTTCGGGGTGCATGGAATCCGGGACAAGGTCTGCATTTTGAACTCTCCGAGGCCGGAACATTATCCAGCAGCATTCCGGGGTTTGTAGTGGGTAAGTGATACATAGTCCACCGTTTACAGATGCTAATATATTCGAATAGAGAGGTTAACAAGGGTGCGCAAATCCCATGTGGAATCGTTGCGTAAGACCATTCGAGGTCTATACAAAGAGCCCAACAGTCAGGAAGAAGGCCTGCGTCGTCTATGCACGGGAGGCAACCATAGGGAGGAGTGCGAGGCGCTTCAACTAGGTCATTGGATTCAATCTGCCGCTAAATACAATCTTGACGACGACGAGATGTGGAATCAAAGTTTGCGCTCTATCTCCAGCCAACTCAAGGAGATCAAAGACCTGTATCTCCCGATGATATACAACAACAAGTACACTTCTCATGCTAACCATAGCCAATGCTCTTGGGCTCGGCGACTCCACGAGGCTGTCGATAACGAATTGGACTCCGTTGAAGGACTAAAGCTATCAGACTTCCCTTCGGCTAAGTAGTTGGTATGTTCCATCGATTTCTCCCAAAGGGAAATAAATACTCACCCCCCAAATATTGTAGACAATTCGACACCCCCATAATCGATTATTAGTCAACGCAGTCACCCGTATCTACATATTCAATGTCCTTGCCACCACCCCCGAGCACAATCGTGCCTAATTCGATTATTTCCTGGATGCATTAAATTATTCTCTTTGTTCCGAGATTTGTGGGATTCAAGTTTCCTTCCACGGTTGTATCTGGTGTTTTCGGTTTCCTAAGAAATGTGTCTTTTCTTGGTGCGCTCTTTATTGGCAGTAGTTGCTGGAAAACCTAGTCAATTGAATCTGGAGAATCGGAAACACGGAAAGTGAAACAGAGTGACGGACACAGCCAAAAAAAAACAGCGCCAAATGCCGGGCAGTGACTGGAATTTTGGTAGGGCGTCCTACTGAGAAACCTATCCATTGGTCCATTCATCACTCATCCAAATCGCCGGTTTTGCAACCGCCGCGGTAATGTCATGCATGCACTCGGTGCTGGGATCGGAGAAACAGCATGTGCAGTTTCGAACAAGGAGAGACATGGAGGTGGCTTATGCTGTTGCTCCAACATCGGGTACACGGCAGATGTCTACCTTATTCACGGAACCGCTTGATAGGTTCCACAACATATCTCCCCTGCAGGAATATCAGCAGCAAACCAAACGCCTGCGTATTACATACGTATGCGCCGGTGGCCAACCTGCTCAAGCTTCGTTCCCAAGTCGAACTTGAGTCCCAGCCAAACCGCGCTCAAGGCTCCCCAGATATTATTTTTGGGTGTAGCATTAATTCTCTTATTTTGAACCAGTTGAACTTTAAACTTCATCCATTTGACTTCTGGTTTTACATCTTTATTCGTTTGTTTGAATAGTGCTTGGCTGGGAAGTTGAGTGATAGACGACTGCGAAAGGGAAAAATGGAAAACAAGGTTGCATACCTTGGGTCCTCTTCACCGCCACTCTACCACTTACCCCATTCCCTCCCACTCACCCCACTCCCTAGCCGTATATATGCCTGCTACATAAAATGACCCAGGCTCAACAGCTTAGAAACCATAATTAATAGAGCACGGTTAGTGGCGGAGAGTATGAATGAAAGTATCGACGACAAGTCCGATGACGAATAAGCATCAGTATTGCCCATGAACCCTACGACAAAAAGCAAATAACCAGGAACACCTCCAACCTTCAACCTCAACCTTATGGCCAATCCAGAAAGTCCATAATACACCTATGAAGGGTAAGGAGACTACTAAGGAGACAATACCAAAATCTCACACGATTACCGATTAGAATTGGGGTTTATTGTATCTCAGTACTGGAACAGACCATTCGAGACAGAATTTAGATTATTGCGGCTCAGCATCTGGCACTGAACGACTTCGAGGATATAGAACCTGCCGCCGATGGAGGAGATATTATCTCTCAATCCAAGTTGGCGTCTGGTGAATATTATTGGTAGGTTGACTCGTAGCACATCCATCCGGGACACGGTTTTTGGCTCGGTGTCAGTGTTATATAGCTTTCAAAGATATCGAGTCCCAGTATATAATGGTAAAACTCATCGCATACTACAAGAACTATGGCTTAGCTTAGCCGGTACAATAAACACCAGGTGTTATAAATACCGGGGTTCGAAACCTCCAAGTCACCGGCTCAAAACCTGATATGCATCGCGCTACAAACGCTAGATCGCGGGTTTCAACCCCACAGTGCTCATTCTATGCCCTGTTTTATTGGAAATCTGCTCGACCTCGTTTCTGTATCCGTCCAAGTCCAGTGGTGGTCCAGTGGTGGTCCACTGGTGATCCGGGAAATTTAGTCTTGCCACTATGTAATGAGAGGCCCCATCCAGTAGACAATAAGAGACGGTATCGCTTCTGGGTCTTCTCAGCGCCCGCTACTCCCAATAGCTGAGGTTTTGTATAAGACGGTAGACGTTGTTGCATATACAAGAACTAATAGCTTAGCTTAGCTAGTATGGTACTGCAAACACTGAGCGCGGGTTCGAAACCCCATGAATATGACGCTCTAAACGTCAGGACACAGGCTGAAAACCTCATGGCGCTTCAAACGGCTAGATCCGGATTCTATATCTGTCACTTTTTGGCCCCGTTTTTGCCCTTCAATATCTGGTTGAGGTATTGTACAAGACGATAGACGTTGTTGCATATACAAGAGCTAATAGCTTAGCTTAGCCGGTGCAATAAACACTAGTTGGCCAGGTGCTGGAAACACTGGGGTTCGAAACCTCACAGCGCTGTAAACGTAATGTTACAAACACCGGTGCTGTAAACATCATAACGCTCTAGACGTCAGGCTTAAAACCTCAAGGCGCGACAAACGCTAGGTCACCGGTTTCAAACCTGTCACTTTTTGGTCCTGCTTTTGCCCTTTGAGATCAACCGCAGGTTTTCAGCCTGGTCGGTGTTTGACATAGCACCAATTGTTACCGTGCACCTAGGCACCATGTTTTCACGAATCTAGGAACAGTAAAGTAAAAGTGCACTCTCCTCTCTCCAGGTACTATGCGTTAATGTTCGAATGTCATTCTGAGTGTGACAACCATCACGAAATGCCCAGATGATGTATCCAAGAACTGTAATAGGATTTGTTCTGGTTGGTGTGTGTCCTACAGTGATTGGAAAAAGGTTTATGTAAACGCACTGTAAGCTGCAAACTGTGACAATAGCGGAACAAATGCTCATAGAGATACCAAACTTGGTCACAATTCTTAGGAGGACCTCTTGAATATCCCTAGAAACTTTCAATACATTTGCAGCTATTTTCGTAGAGTGGGAGCAGTCACTGTATGGGGTCGCTTTCCCCAAATCCTCACCCCCAAAGCTATAAGTTCACAACAGGGCTAGAATCAATGGGCAGTAATGGTCTAAAATCCTCTCTCAATGAAACTAGAACCATTTATCTACAATGTTTGCAGAGCGCAGCACCTGTTCTGGGCTGAATGGCCAGAAATTGCCGGTTATGGTCCATTTACTTAACACTTTTTTCCACTCGCTGTATCTCATGGGTCTTGTTAATCTCGGGCTGCATATGACAAGAGTATTGCCGATCCCTGTGGAGACATGGCGAACTCATATTTTGACTGAAGTTCCCCTTCCAGTTCCTTCCTCGAACCATTTTAAAATTTCATAGCTGAATGGATAGTTCTGTGCAACATGCTGCGGTAGGAAGTTCAACGAGATCAACAGAACGCCATGATCATCCAAATGGCCAAGTTCTGGCACCGCAGGCACCGATCGATTTCCACATTGTGCTCTTGTGCCGATGTTGAGATTCATTTACATCTCCGGCCTCGCTAGCTCAATGGCTAGAGCATGAGACGCAACAATTTGCACTGCCTGGTGCAAAATGTTCACCCTACAAGGGATGTGGGATAAAGTGCAAAAAGATAAGCCTCACGCGGGGGTCGAACCCGCAACCTTGAAATGGCGATATGTTGCCGTAAAAGTCTCACGCTCTAGCCATTGAGCTAGCGAGTTCATTTTGGGTGATAATCTGTGATCAGGCAAAATCAAGGAATTAAAGCAGAAAAGGAGTTCACCCTCAGTCGCCTTCGGCTCCTTCGGGCGTTTGGGGTTCTCTGTGAAGGGAGAGACAGCATATCGAAAAGTACTAGGTAGCGAGATACAGAGTAGAGTGGGATATACGAGGTGGATGAGTGTACGGAGGGTCAAAGGGAATAATGCGAAAGGCAAGGCAGAAGCCGAAAGACAGAGTAAGGATAGAGTAGGGGTAGAAGAAATAGAACGAGAGGGGCCCAAAAGAGGTACAAAAGAGGAGGAATAAAACGACGGAGAAACGCAGACTAGTGGGGGACGAACGAGAGCTAGAGTAAAGAGAAAAACAAGAATCGCCTCAAGAGAAGACACAAAGCTAGATAGCCGAAGGTAAACGAGTACGTAGAGTAAAAGACGAACGGAAGATAGCCAGTCAGAAAAACGTAGCAGAAAACAGAGTACCCGACAACACCCAGATTCAATCCATTCCAACCGTAAAACACGCAGTAGCAGTAGCAGTAGCAGAACAGTACATCAACGAGAAACGAGTGAGACAAGATAGGCCACGCCATACTTCGAGTCCACAGCCAGCGAGATGGAAACGAATAGAGCAGAGACAACGAGAACACACGCACACCCACAGAGCAGATCGCCAAAGACAGACAGAGGAGAGAGCGTAAAACAGAACGAGAATCGAACCCAATTGCAATCAAAAAGCCAAGATGATCCGATCAGACGAATTCCGTAAGTACACACTATATGAGCGGGCTAGCGTAAACGCCGCCCGCTCATATAGACTCCGCCGCCGGCCCCCCGCCAACCACCGTGGATTTTTTCGCCGCTCTTGCAGTGCTTCGCACTACAAGAGCCGCTCAAAAACTATCTCAGATTTCTCGATATCATCACAGTTTATCACTCGGTCCAATCTCTGTGCTCCACTTCCCGTTACCAGTGCCCGCGGCGTCCTCATATTTACCTTAAGTACTCTCTCACTTCCCAACTGATCAAAATAACACAGGTTCCGTCACCAGCGATGCCATTTCATCGCGAAAGACAAACGGAATTGGAGCTTCATGGTGAAGGGACTCGGATAGAATCATGAGGTCTCTCGATTCATTAGCTTCAACCTTATTTATACGACCACACCCACCATCTCTATTGATGTCTAACGACACCTGTCGCTCTGACTGCCTGTCACACATTGCGGACGCACCCAACCAACAGTTGTCGCAACACTTATCACAGCCCCTCACTCCTTGCATCGGGCAGCATCATATTGTACTGCTAGGTACTAAAGTACTTACTGAATATCTCTAAGTGCTTAAGTGTTGATAATGCATTTGGTTTGTACATGGCACAGCGGGATTCCAGCCATGGGAATGGATTGGTGGTGGTTGGGGAGCGGTGCATCTACGATTGTACCAGAATAGCATATTGTAGTGGTTGGATCAGATCATCGGATCACCCCTGAGCTTGAGTTGCCAGCCGAATTTCACTCTTTCTGTAGGCTCTACGCTCTGCATGTACGTACATGTAGGCAGACTCGCAGACTCTAGGTACTTAAGTATTCTGTGGCACACAGTCAGATCTTCCCATAAACCATTCCACTGACTCCCAGTCCTGTACGCTCGACCTACTACCGCGAACTAACTACTGACCGCTGCATTCTACGCACAATCCGCTGCCCAAACTGCAAAAATTCACCCAATCTACTACTTACTCACCCCGTAAGCAGTAAGTGATCCCATCATCCAACCCGATTGCCATGGCTTACCAGTGGCAACAATAGCGATGTCGAAGCGTTTACACACCGAAATAGGTGTGCCCTCACTCTCACTCTCACGTCCAGCCAAGAGGTCGGCAACTAGTGGCCCCACGCAAGGCTTAAGCGCTAGCTCTTCCGTTGCGAATATTCGAACTGCGATCTGGGAAACGGTTCGGCAACGGATGGCCTGTCGGGAAATCCCCCTCACTGAGGTGGATATCAGGCAACACGGGGCAGTCGTTCCGCTGACGGACGATGATCAGATCAAGTTGCTGTACCTAAAGCTCCTTGATACCCTATTGCTGTTGAGCGACGACGAGCTTTGCCAATTGTTCGAGCTCTCTACGTTGAGTGCTGCGAGCGTTGCCGACGCCAGTATGCGCCAGAAATTCTATCTGCGCAGTTGCACTTTGACAGCCGGCCAATTGAGGACAGTCATTACGGTCTGGCGCAGAGATTATTTGAATTTCGAGGAAGCCGATATCTGGGACGACTATCTGAAGGATCCAAAGATACATGGTGATACTCCATTGGCAATTCGATACGTTGGCATCGCTGGATCTGGGAAGACCGGGTACCACCGCTTTCAGGAAGACCTACGATATAGAAAGAATGGGATCCTTTTGGCGTTTTGCAACACTGTTGCAGTCGAACTCCCTGCCGTTCACGTTTCCTGGAAAGTGTTCGAGTTCAAAAGTGCCGCCGTCCCCAAAACAGAGATGCCACTGGGACAAGACCAGTTCTTCATCGACACCAGGGAAATGGTGCTCGTCTCTCTCATGGGCGGCACGTGTCTTTTGAACCGCCAACTAGGAAGGTATTTCCATAGCTATCAGATTTTGGATCAAGATGCACTGCGGTTCACAGCTCTGCACACCTCTCTTCAAACGATTCGCCAAGATTCAACAGACAGGTCCCGACCCCACTATGGACTTCGATATTGAAGCTTGGGCCGAGGCAATGAAGACCTTCGCTGATCACTTCAAACAAGAAACCCGGACCGACAGATATCCACTCGGGGTTTCTTGGTTGGAGCGGATTATCGCCGAGGCTACACCGAAATCTTTCTCCACTGGCACCTCCGACGGAAGTTGTGAGGTTTTATTTGCACTGGTGGGGAAGGATATCACGGTCGAGGACTTCGTTGACAGCAAACCGTTTTTCGCCTCAAGGTCTGGTGCTGGAGCTTCTAACTACAATTCACGCTCTGCCGTGGTTGTAATCAATATCCTGTCACAGCTTCATGCCCTCGAGAACGGATTTGGAGAGTCGCTTCCAATGCCATTCCAGCCTGTTATCTTTCCCTTTGTCGATTTGTATCCATGGATTGGACATAAGAAAACAGCAGAGATGATCGAGTTTCTACGGCAATATTTTAGTATAACCCGACCCTGGATTGGCATTGGTCTAGGCCATAAAGTGTCCTCTTCAATGAAAGGGAATTTTATGCATCAATACGGCATGACAAGAGATCGGTATATTGATTATGTTGGTATGCCATCGGTTCAATACTACGATTCGAGCTGGCTCAATTCCGAGAACGACGATGAACCGGATCCTAATACCGCCTTCATTCTGATACCCCACATACATCCAGGACGGGATAAATACGGCAATCAGCCCGAGTCTCTGCGTCGAGTTCTGTTTTTGACCTGGATGGTCACAATTGCCCTCGCCGATATGCTATTAGGCAAGTTGACAGAGCGGCAGTTGGACAGCAAAGGGGTACAGATAGGACCGAGGGACCGAGCATCCATCTGTCGGGAGCTGCTGGCCGAGGCAGGAGCGTCTGCACCGGTGGCACGTCTGTATGCGGAGCTTGAGCGAACTAAGCACGCATTGTTGACTGACTGGCAAGCGGCAAATTCCCCTCGACGTGGAAATTCGGCTATCCAGATTTGCGAATTGGATTTGATGGGTCTGAAGGAGATAAAGAGAAATGGATGAAGTGGGCCAACGGCGTTTGGGAAGGGAAATCATTTTTTGCTTCTCTCATCGCGACCACTGACTTCGACAAGGCGAAGCCTGAGCTGATGACCCTACTGCCAGGGGAGAACCTAGGCGACCCGGATGTAAGGAAAGCAGTATTTGAAAAACTGGAACGAAACATCAGACTGAGAGGATCAGACCCTGAGATCGTACGGCTGCACCTACTCCGGCGACATGGAGTGAAATCAGACGATCTTCATCAATACGACTACGCTGAGGACCTCAATAACTTAAGGTCAATTCACGTCGTATTGTCACTCTGTACTGGATGGACAACGGTACAAAAGTGAAGATTCCACTTCGTGCACCCCCAAGCTCGGTTAAAGATGAAGGCGATCGGTTTATCAGGTTTGTCGACGCCGGAATATCGCTCTGTGGTCCCAACGGACAGGTTTTCCTACCAGCTAGGACCCCGTTCACAGTAACGTGGCCTACGTCTGAACTGGGGCTCTTGGTCAATGCCAACAATATCAAACGTTGTTGGGAGCGACAGACAAGCAAGCCTTGGCCTCAGTCATTAACCAGTTCCGGTCCGCCTATTCCCTCTCCATCGCAGGTTCCTCCCACCTCCTTGACCGCTGGCATCTTTCCCGACGTGTCCTCATCACCCACCCCGCTCACCAATCCGTCACTCGCACCCTCATCCTCAAAGGATCCCGCTTCACTCTCCGCAGCCTCTTCCAGCAGTTTGAGTCTTCCTGCTAGCTTTTATGGTGCCAAAGGCAAGGGCCCACTCAAGGTCGGCATGTCCAAGGCAAGCATCGCCCAATATTCGAAGCCCCCGCTTGCAGGGGATGCAACTTGGATCATGAACGAATTTTTGGACGAGGTGTTTCCTGATGGTGGCAAGGTATTTTCAGCAACTGTCGGTGCCTGGCCGGAGAAGGATGGTGAGCACATTAGGCTGCTCTTTTCCGAGTTTCTTCACCGCTCCCGATACCAGAGCTATCCTTATCGGAGTGAGTGGGTTGATATCCTAAACGATAGCCGCCAGGCCAGTACCAACACCCTCAAGAAGACTCTTGACTTTTGTCGCCCAATTACCAGAACCCAAAAGGTGCAGAAGAATATGCGAAGCTCCGGTGGAAGCCAGCTCACTGGCCAGTATTGGCACTTCGGAGGGAGTCCAGCGTCGTGATGCATGCGCGGATCTCTTGTGCACGCCACGGTACTTTGGCGAAGTTTTGGTGTTCTGCAGAACGAGGTTTTATGAAGAGGGATGCCCCAA